GTACATTGTTATTAACTTAATTAGGGTACTCCTAAGGCTTAGGAAGAGCCACACTCAAGGGTCCAAAGAGCCGCATGTGGGCTAGACTATTGAGAATGCAAATTCTCTCTGGAAAAGTATTAAAAAATTTTAGTAGCCTAGGCCTTCAAGAAAAATTGAGGGCATTTTAGTTCTTTGAGGTAATTATTTTAAAATTACCTGATTCAATTTCCTTCAATTAATTTAACATTTGGGTCCTTTAAAGGAGGATGACTTATTTTCTTTGCTTGATATTTTAACAATATAAAATAATTACAACCCTCTTTGTATTTCGATATGAATTGAGATTATACAAAATTATTTATTGAGTGTATAATGCTGTCAGATAAAAGAAGGCAGTGGAGAGCTACAAATGCCAAGGAATCAGAAAAATATTTTCTTCAGGGACAGTTACGTTTGCCAATGTTTCCTGTAATACTTCTTTGTTTTAAGGAACGTCTTGTCTGTTATGGGACTGCTCCAGTGCTTGGGTAAGGATGCTACTTGCATGCACAATGCTGCTTGGGGGGCCCAGGTCCAGCTCAGGAGGCCACTGCCTCTGTCCTTGCTAGCTGTGTGACCTTGAATTCATGCCCCATGAGATTTCAGTGTGACAGCCAGTGTAATTCCTTTCCAAATTTGGATCCAACTAAGAAGTAGAGCCAGGAGTCAAATGATGATAAAATATGTCTTATTAGTCATGTGATTATGTGAATAGAAAACAAAAGAATTTGCCAGAGAACCAACCAGAATCTTTGAGTGTTGTCAAGTGTCTGCCTCCCAGTGAGAGAAAGAGGCTGAGCTGAGCACGCCCAGTTTCTTTTTGTCAATATCCCAATAAGATGAATCCCCTTTTCTTCCCATTAGGTGAGCTAGAAAGCCTTGGTGTTACTCAACAGGCGCCTCTTCACAAAAACAGATGGCATTAATTGAAGGGAAAGGAGGGCATATTTTCCTAACCTCTCTGTGCTTTAGTCTTCCTCCTTTGTAAAATGGTGATAATAGAACTTATCTCACACAGCCATGCAAGGATTAAAAAAGATCCTAGTAACACTGAGACTAGTGTATGGGAAGGGCTTTGCCAAGTACCAGTAAATGTGGAATTGGAGAAGCGAAGCATAGAAACTTTATCGGGGAAAGAGAACTTCAGAAAGATAATCTGATCCGCTTGTGGTGTGGTTGTTTTTTTTTAAGTTGGGAAACAGAGACCCAAGGAGGTGTAGACCCTTGTCCAAGTTCCATGGCTCATTGTTGACATATTATGGCAGAACTGACTCTGGGTCCCAGGTGTTCAGGTGCTTAGTCCAGAGTTCTTTCTGCTCTGCCACTCTGCTGAATAGCTGTCCTAGCTGTCAGTGGATAGAATTGCTGACCCTCCTCCCAACCACCATGAATTTCCTGTTTCCAGAGGATGCACCGTGGGTCCCTACCCCATGGAGGCCCTGCAGGCTGCTGCTCTCAGGCAACAATTTATAGCCCTTGTTGTGGGTTCACAATGAGAACAAGATTGCTATTTTAGAATCAAAGTAGATATTTTCACAATCCATTGTGAAGTACCAGGCAGGTATTCTTTTGAAGGTAAATAAACACAGTAAAGTATAATTATTTGATTCCATTTAGTGTATTAGAAAAGGTAATGCCTTAATGACACCCTAGTGGTCTATAACAGTTAATACACCATAGAAAAATGAATCATAAAACCCCCTTCTCTCTAATAACGCTTAGACTAGTGTTATGAAAAGGCACTAAACCTTAGGGAATTAAAAATGTTTTCCCCTTCTTACCAAGTGACGAAATTATTAGTTTGGATATTCTATTCACACTGGTCAGGAAAACCTGTAACATATTCTGTTGGTTTGATGATAGATCCTTGCAACATTATCTGGGACAGTTGCTATGGCAAAGAGAATGGTCCTGTAAAGGCCAGATGATTTTCTCTCTGTCACGTCTTCCCAAATGTTAGTTCCTACTGAGCTGGGTGGGAGCGGAGGAGTTCTTACTGATGGCAGCATCCTCCTCACGTGTGGACCCAGTGGACTGACAGGGTAGGCAAGTGCATGGGCTCACTTCAGATTGACAAGCTCTGCAAGCTCTTTGTGTTTATTTTGGAAATGGTATGAGTTACAAATATTCCCTGGAAACATGTGCCTGGCCTCCTGGCTGTCTGCAGGATAAACACTGACAGGATGGCTTCTCTGTCATAGTTTGTGGTTGATAGATTGCACACCAGTGCTTCTAGTCAGAGAGACAGCTGTGCACATCTGAAACAATCTCAGGGAGAAACCCCAAACCAGCTTGACAGCGATACTGGTGACAGCAGGATGCCCTGCCCTCTGTCACCAGAAGAGCACCGCCTCTCTAGATTTCTGTACCTGCACTTGTGCTGCTGCTGAGCGTAACAGGAACACCAAGGGTCAAGGGGCATTTGGATGCCACCACCTTTCCCTCACTCGTAAATGGCAAGATGAATGTCTGTTTGGCAAGATTATCGTGAGCTCATTCTGTGAGTATCGTACATAACAAACAGCAAACAGTAGCAAGTACTAATGATGTGTTCATCTCTTATTAAAATTAGATACATGTAAAAATTTTAAATTAATAATATTTTTACTGATTTTTATTGCATCTGTATGTATATATACATATGTATAACATCACTAAATAGATACAGTTAGGGAGCAGCATGGCTCAAGAGATGTGTCACCATTTGACCAATTTGCCTTGTTCACCCCTGTGTTTCCAGAATAATCATCACTCACTTCACTTTCAAAAGAAGTACTAATATGTGTTCATCTCTTATTAAAATTAGATACATGTAAAAATTTTAAATTAATATTTTTACTGATTGTTATTGCATCTGTATGTATATATACATATGTATAACATCACTAAATAGATACAGTTAGGGAGCAGCATGGCTCAAGAGATGTGTCACCATTTGACCAATTTGCCTTGTTCACCCCTGTGTTTCCAGAATAATCATCACTCACTTCACTTTCAAAAGTGACCCAGTTTGGACAATAGTTATGTAATCACCCTAGATACAGATCAAAAGGAAAACTGACCTCAGGAAAGCCAGGAACTCTTATAGCCTCTATGCTGATGAATAACACATCCACTAGACAACCACAGCTTAGGAAATTTGTACTGGGGACACCAACATAATTTTTAAAATATATAAGTTATTTAAATCAGTTACCACAGCAAAAAAAAAAACCACAAAAACAAACTCAGTGTCCATAAGGCTTTTCGAAAATAAGGAAGTTTCCTTTTGGTGAAGAACTCCATGTGTTCATTTTCATATTTTCTTAGTTTGCGCCTGGATCGACATCAATAGCTGCAACTTCCAGTGGATGGCTTTAGTATTGACAAGAACCCTTGAAGTGGCTGCTGCCTTGAAGGCGATTTTGCCACTCGATTTTTGTCTATTTTTTCCCTTTCCTTCTTTAAGTCCTGCTAATTTCTCTAATTCGACCAGCTTTTAACATTTAGCTCCAGCACCTGGGGGTTTGGGGCAGTCTTTAAAGGCGTGTTGAAAATGTATCAAACACAGGGCATCAATCCATCTCTTTCATGTCCTGATATAAATGAGAGGGAACGGCAGGCAAACTAACATTGAGAGCCAGGGTTCTGGCTGACAAACCTAAGTTACCCCGTTTCAATGACTTTACAGTTTTTGCAGGATGTTTGCTTTCTGTTTTATGGAACTCTCTATACTTATTTTTGTGTGGTTTGATTCTAAAGTGCCCTTTCTGCCTCGCTTACTCCTTACTTCCTCTCAGAAAATGTTCTTTTTCCAATTGGAAAAATAATACTTTAGCAAATCACACTTTAACAATTTCTTATTAAGCAACAGCTTCCTTAATACTTTGTGCTGCTCTCGAGTTCAGGAACCTTAGTGTCCAGTGGCCTATTTAGGCTAGAACACAAAGGTCAGCTGGCCGGGGTGCCCGGAGCCTCACGTTGTTCTCAACCCCACATGCAGATGAACTCGCCAACTTTCCCAGCTTCTCGCACCTGGATCACACATTATGTAGACCCCTCACTATCAAGTCAAGTGGGGAGGGAAAGCCCGCTATAGAGAGAGGCTAATTTCTGGAACTAAGTATAAAATCTCTGAATTATGCCAGTGGTGTGTTCCAAATCTATTTTGTTTCCCAAACCTGTTCCTTTTATTTCAGCAAGGCCAATTGGTCTCTGAATTTCTCATCCATGTGTAAGTGCTGAAGTTTAGACTTCTGCTATGGAACTCATCTATAATGCAGTTCTGTTCTTTTGAAACTGCTTGGCCCTTGGGGAGCCTTTGATCACCTGTGACATAGGCAGAGATTATTGCAGGATTTTTGAAATTCACTGGTAAAAGCTAAAGGCTAAAGTATATAGTAGGACTCTTCCATCAATAAATTATTTTACCTGAGTTTCTAATAACAAGCAAATCTGATTCAAGTATTTTTGTACTGTCAGTCATATATAAGAAGAGATTCATACTACGTAGCTCTTCTTCTTGCTCTGGGTTTCTGTGACCCTAGAGATCACCCAAAGAAAATATCAGGGTTTTGATAATGCACAAATTGATTTACTATGGAGTGTGAGTTTCTATAGAGGCTATCAAGAATATTTTTCCAGTACTGCGATATAGGTAGAATTTTAATATAAGTCTCCATGAACCAAGAGGTAATAAGCGCTATTCCCATTGCTCCTTAAGGATTTTCTTGCAATATTTGAAAGGTTTTGTTTTTGTTTTTCTTAAATTTTCACCTCTATGGAGTCTGTTTTATATGTTATAAAACCATTATTGAAGTTAGAAAATAAAACAGAATAAACTATTTGCACACAGAATATACTAGAGCTAGTTGCAAAGCTTGAACAGGTGAGCTTGGCTTTCCCTTCCTCTGAGAGCCTTGAAAAGCACTGGAGAACTACACCTGCAGGCCTAGACTCCATTACTGCAGCCTTGGCAGCGATCTGTTTTTATGTTACAGGCAATGAAAGCTTAGAAGAAAACTACGTCCAGGACAGTAAGATGGGCTTTGTCATCAATGCCATCTACGCCATGGCCCACGGGCTGCAGAACATGCACCATGCCCTGTGCCCCGGCCACGTGGGCCTCTGCGATGCCATGAAGCCCATCGACGGCAGCAAACTCCTGGACTTCCTCATCAAGTCCACGTTCATCGGTGTGTCTGGAGAGGAGGTGTGGTTTGATGAGAAAGGGGACGCTCCTGGAAGGTAAAGCCGTCTTTTCTGTAATGGATCTGAATAACCCGTGACCCTCCCTGCGCCAGACAGATGGCAACTCTGGCTAGCTTTGGTTTATGGTTTCTGGGTGTCATGAGCAAAACAACTAGAAAGTTAGAGACAAGGCTAATATTACATGGAAATTATATTTTAAAACATTGAAAAACTTATTGTAAACACACACAATCCTGCATCTTGCCAGTATTACACCCCTACCCAGCTATCACTCAGAATACCTTGACCTCCTGCGAGCCCCAGAAACTAAAGAGACGGCACCTCACTGGCAGGACTCTCCCTGGCACTGTCAGCTCCAGGCCAGAGCAGCTTTCTGATTGACTGGTCCCAAGGCCAGTCAATTAAAATATTTTAATATTACACCTGCTTAAAGAGCTTAATATATGGGGAGAATGAAGTCCGACATATGTATCCCTTTGTCTCAGGCTAAGGAACAAGAAAGAATTTTCTTTGTGGTATTGAGTCTCTATGGCTTCCAAAGAATTAGGAAGCAAAGGAAAATTACACCTAACTAATATATATATATGTTTTCCTTTTCCCTAAGTCATTTTATATTTAGTCTGTTTTATAACACTTGTTTTATAATATCAGTTAGCTCAAATTTCATTGGTACATAGAGAGTGATGTCAGTATAAAGAGTAGTTATGTTTGTTCATATGACGTTTCCTAGCCAAGGAGTAATCAGAATAGTGACATAAGAATTAAAAATTGCAACAGGAAAGAAAAAGGCCCTTGGCTTGGCTGCTGCACAGGATGCCCACAATCTTTCTTTTCTCTCTCTCATAAGATGGTTTTGCAGAAAGAGAGATTTTGGGGAAACATATGCTGTATTAAAATGGAAAATCAAGTCATTTAATCCTCATTGCTATAAGCATATCTTTATCCTTTTTACATCTGATAAAGCTGAGTGTCAGAGAAACTAAAAAATTTACCTTAAATCACACTGAGAGTAGCTGGCAGAGGCAGTGCTGTGTGAGTCTGAGGCTTGTAATCTTTTTGCCACATTGCTCTACCTTTAGCTAATCCTAAAATCAGGCAAGGTTGCTGGCAATGTTCTCAATGTCATTTCAAAGGCACTGTAAGAGACTATTTGGGAGAGAGTACTGTAAGATACCCCAAATAATTCTCCACATATCTCCTCCTTTCATGTAAGTGTGAAGTTCTACATTTAGAGAGTGCCTTGTGGGACCAAGTGGATTCTCCCTGTTAAAATCCAACAGCTCTAGGAAAGATAAATTATCTAAGTAATTGTCAGCAATTAAACAATGAATTTATTAGATTCCTTCCAAGCTTCCATTAGGCGGGAGCAAGTTTAGGTAAACATGGGAGTGAGATGGATGGAATGATGGAGGGCCTGGGCACGTGGAAGGTTTCCAGGTGCTGAGCACCTTAGGAAGTAATACCAGGAGGATCCAGTGGATCTGAGATTCAGAACAGCACTCCGCTATGGTTATAATGCCGCATTCCACTGGAAACTGGGCTCTGTAACGGATCAGATTTGGAAGGGAAACCTCCCTTCCGGCAAAGGGCCAACTGCATTTGAGACACCCCATAAATATGCGTTTTCTCTTCCTCTCTCTATTTGTAAGTTATTCAAAATATTGGGACACAAGGTTAGCTTGTTTTTTTCTCTCCATCTTTAATTGTATATTTAAATCATGGGCTTTCTCTGGGTGTCTTTTCAAGGATTATTTCTTCATGTTTGAAATTGATCATCTTCTGTGATCAGTTTCTGTTTCAATCAACTCCCTCTGCTTCCATCTCCTGTCACAACACCGTCCAAGCTATTGGATCCTCCTGTAATTATTTTAGCTAATCATCATGTAACATGAACTGGATGCATTGAGAGGATGTTGTCAAGTTGTAATTTACAGCATGAGGAATATTCCAAATAAATGCCAGCGTGTTGGCAGGCAGGGACTGGGGTCAGGAGAAAAGAGCCGTGTTCATTAACACATACAGCAAAGGGGGAGGCCTCTCTTTAGTGAGACAGTACTGTTTCCTTGGTATCTTTCAGTGGTTTTTTTTCTTCCCCCTCTGGCTTTTGAGATTTTTAAAAAACATGTTTCCATACCAAAAAATTGTGAGCTTTTCAGGTTTTGCATGCAAGACAGTACTTTTCCCTTGGTATCTTTCAGTGTTTTTTTTCTTCCCCCTCTGGCTTTTGGGATTTTTAAAAAACATGTTTTCATACCAAAAAATTGTGAGCTTTTCAGGTTTTGCATGCTAATGAAGTGTGAACTGATTTCTCCTCGTCTAAGAGCAAATGAGAAAGTTGAAATAAAATCTTAGGAAAGTAATTTATAGGGAAAAGATATTCTAAAGCTGGCATTGCATTAAGCCTTCATTGGAAGTACCTACATAAGATTTAATGATGTAATATGGAGTAAAACATAAAAATTAAAGGACATGGGGAAAAGGAAACCATTCTTAGCGAACATTCACAGCAGATGCTATAACCATGAGTTTAAAATGGAAAAGAATTGAAGGTGTAGATTAGTATCATTGATCGGTAGAATGAGTGTGAACCATCACCCCCAGTTAACACGTACATGGATATTGCTCAGACAGCTACTCTGAAGAACATTCGGGTGTGTCTCAGCAGCCAGGAAAATAAGAACCCTCTGGTAGCCAAAAGTCAGAACAGCCAAGAGATGAAACTGTAGGTAGGTTTTGTTCACCTGGAAAAGTAGGAGGAAAACTTCCTTCACTCTCTCAGTCTCCCCTCTCCCTGTAGGGGACTGCTATTTATAGAGATTGCCAGAATCTGAATGTGAAGAAGCCACTAGCTACCCTGTGGGCATTTGCACATTGAAAGCAGGAAGAAAAGCCAATAAAGGACATTAGTTGTGTAGATAAAGAACTAGGCCAGATACAGCCAATAGGTTTCAGATACCAACTAAGGTTGATGAGTGGTAGCTTCCTGGAGTGCTAGGCTGAGGAGGATTCTGAGTCTGAATCCAGTTTGGAAGGAATTCCAGGATGGATTAGGTAGGGGCCTAGGGGGAAGGGGGAAAAGAGCTGAGGAAGAGAAATATGTGTTAGTTAATTGTCATCAGTTTCTTTGGGTCAAGAGCAAAGAGCAAGAAACAGTGCCTCTTTCCTTCTAGCTTGGGAGGTTGAAAGCTCATCACAGATACTGCAGGAAACCATCCCACTTTGCAGAGTCAGCACAGCAGAGTCAGGCCTTCATGAGTTATAATTTACCTGGAGTCGATAGCAGCATGCAGAGAAGATTGAGAAATGCCAGAACATTTTCAGTGCTGAGGGGTAAATGGCATTGCCAGCACAAAGATGTTCTCCCGCTTTCTTAGGATCATAGAAATAACCAGAGTATTGTAGGGCAGTCATAGAAATACACATATGACTGATACATTGATATTGTCTTACATATATATGCTTTGTTCCACCTGTGAAATAGTTTCTTACATACCTTATGGTTATAAATCCCCACAAGAAGCCCATGATCCTTAAGAAGTTTAGTGACAATCCTAAGTAGTTTAACCTAAGGTAGAAATAAATGTTAGAAAAGCTATTCTAGCTCGTGCATTGCAATGCCAAGACCTGACCTGTTTCCATCACACTGGGGAGTGCTCTCCACTGCCCACAGTGGAAGATGCTGAAGTCTGGCCCCCAGAACACACTCAGGCTGCAGAGATGATTTCTAAATTCAGATTTTGCTGTTGTGTAGCATTGCAGCTTTTGAAATTACTGAAATCAACTGGCATCACTTATTTGGATTCAGAAATGCTTCTCCTAACCAGGGACAAGACCCGTTTAAATGTCAATGTGCAAGATGATAAATCCCCAACATCCTTGCTAATTAAAGATGCATTTCTCAGAGTTCTTGCCCTAATCACACCTAAAAGAGGCTCCAAACTTTATAAAATTCACCTCTTTCAATCCAGTGTAATGAAAATGGCAACTGAATGTAAAAAGGAAAATTGGAATAAAAGTAGTTAAGTCAAGGAGTTAATGTTCTCCAGACATGCTACTTGTTCAAACAATGACTGAGGGCATAATGATTTGGAGGAGATGATCAACTCAGCACACACAGACACACAGAAATCTTATTTTGGAAAACATGCATAGAGAAAGCCCAAGAATACTGTGTTCTTTAGCAAATATGGACAATACACAGAAATTGAGAATGGGATACACATTTTTTAAAATCAGTGGAAACATTACAAATAAACTGAAATATCGGCAGTAGCTGGTGTTAGGACTGGAGATGATTTTAGCCTTTATTTCCCTTCTCTTTGTTAGTATAGATTTACCATATTTCTTTGCTTTGTACATTATGTCCATATTCTCCAAGACACACATGTTGTTTTCTTTGTAGGTATGACATCATGAATCTGCAGTACACTGAAGCTAATCGCTATGACTATGTACACGTGGGAACCTGGCACGAGGGGGTGTTGAACATCGATGACTACAAGATCCAGATGAACAAGAGTGGGATGGTACGGTCTGTGTGCAGCGAGCCTTGCTTAAAGGGTCAAATTAAGGTAAGCCAGCCACAAATGCATTCTCAGACGGTGTTCACGAGGAGGCCCCCTGCCTGGATATAAATAAAAAATGCACAGACATTTTTCTTAGACAAGACTATCCAGGAAGGATGGACCAGGCTTACTGTTTTTGTGCTTGTAGTTAGCTAAAATTGAAAAGACAAAGGAAGATTAGGAAATGGAATAGGAAAACCATTTCAATATTTGGAATAGTCTTTAATTGAATCACAATGATGACGCAGGATTTTAAAATACAATATGGAAAGCAGGGGGGTGCATGATCGATTTGAAAACTGAAACAGATGTAAAAGTGGAAACCAAAACAAATGATACTGCTTAGTTGTAGTTCTAGCTATTGTTAAAGAAAGCAGGAGCTGAACATTGCTAAATAAGCACATAACTAAAATAAAAGAAGTTGAATGAGGTAACACAGAAGTACTGCTGATCATTTCTCCACCAAGTTCTTCGCTTTTCCTAAAACCAGTATTTTCTAGCCGAGAGAGTCCTCACTCTCTATTATCAGATGCCTTTTCCCCAACTTGTAAGTAACCGTGATATGACTCCATACATAAAACTAGAGTAAATAAACATTAAATAATGAGCATTTAGCCGGATGTGCTAGAGAGAATTCTCGGTGAAGAAGACATAGAGACAGTGCTCTCTGTATCCCGTGCTACTTAAAACCAATCTGGGTAATGCACTAGGAGATGGAGTGTGGGGGCATGATTGTGAGCTGGCAAGGGTATTGATTAAATGACCTAACAGGTCTTTCCATCTCTAATTTTCTGTGATCCGTCTCTGGAAGCAAACAGGCTGTCACATAAGTGTCGCCCCGCACAGCTGGAGCTGGAGTAGGTGCCCTGTGTGGCTCTGACCCTCTTCTCATGAGCCATGGCCATCCTGCTGTGCCATTCTCATGAGCTGTGCACCACCCACGCAGGGGTGAGGAACACTCAGGTGTCTAGGGCAAGAGGCGACTCATACAAAAGTGTTGGTGTGGAAACTGGAAAAGCCTTATCTCTCCTGATCAAAGAAGATAGAGATTTGCCACCTGCAACATCTTTTGGCAGCTGTCCTGATGAACTCCACCTCCCACTGACACCAGCCACTTCGAAGATGAAACAAACTTCTTAGACAAATCATCCTAGCTTTCAGTATCTTTTGTTTTCTCTGCAATATGATGATGAAAGGATTTAATAATTGTCATGACAACTCACCAATCAGAATTGACTTCATTCTAGTGCTGTGATGGGGTCCTGGAGGCCGCCCATCACACCCATGGGGAGATTTGAGCGAGGAGTCCTATAAGGCTCACATAGTGTGGGGTATTGAGGAGGCTTAAAGATACCATTAGTTTCCTCTTAGTGCTTACGTGTTTCAGTTGTGTAAACACAGTCACTGTGTATGAGCTGAACATCAGCACTGCTTCTCCCCAAGAATACATTTCTGATTCTTGTCCCGATGAAATTCTTTCACATGAGACTAGTGAAGTCAATCTGAGGCGGCACATAAAACGTGGAGAGTACATCTGTAAGTGAACAGCAAGTGTTCTGCACATATGATACTCTCCCTTACCAAGCCTGCTGTGGTTTTCCATGGTTCAGGGAAGGGCAGGAAAGAGGGGAGAAGGGACAGGAGGCAAAGGAAGGGAAAATGAAAAGAAGAAAAGAGATGGTTGAGGTCAGGGACTAACATTTATCAAGCATATACTTGTACAAATACAATAATGCTTTACAAGCATCATCATTCCAATTACCCCTTGAAACAACCCTTTAAAAGCAGGTATCATCACCCCCATTTTACAAATGAGGAATCTGAGGTGCAGAGGGGTTGATTCACTTGCTCCAAGCTTTCTCAGTAGAAAGTGCCAGAGCTGGGCTTGGTGCCAACCCAAAGCTCTTATACCCTACAGCCATATGTTGTCCTACTATCTTTCATTATATGAACCTATATGTTTCCTACAAATGCAAATTTTGATTGCTAAGCCTTATTTTCTCAATAATTCACACTAAAATTATAAGCAGAGGTCCACATTTAAAATGCCAGAGGAACAGAATCTAGAATTAAGGAAGCAATATTTGTGAAGGTGGTAGGGAGAATTTGTTAGAGAAGGCAGCAGGCAGAGAAATCACGGGAAAGGACCCTGCAGATTGCTTTCACTGCCCTTCTATTCTTGTTTTCCCCTGCTTTCCTCTTTGTTTCCCCCCTTAAATTTGTCTTTGAATTCTTTACTATAAGTTGATGGTTTGGGGACTGGAAGTTTGGACATGGAGAGTGGAGAAAAATCACTAATTTCTACGAATCTCATCTGACCAATCTGACAGAATTTTGGAGACATTAGGGGAACATGGAATATATCATAAATGGTTCCTCATTGCAGATGCCATATTGTCATGTGGTAAAGTACACCTTATGCATGTGGAGAAAAGCCCAGTTACACATATCTTACAGTCTATAAACTTCAGAATTGGGTTAACTATTTTTCCCTGAACCATTTAAAAGGCGAGGTACAAATATTATGAAGCTTCGTACCTTCACACTTCAAATTATGCTTTCAAAGAATAAGAACAATTTTCACATAGCCAAAAGACTGGCTAAGAAAATTAGCAATAACATCATCCATTGTAACTGTCCCAAAACATCTCAACGTTCTCTTTTTGTGAATCAAAGAATACTATTCATTTAAACTGTTCATAGTTAATATAACCATTTTGGCAACCAGTGAAACAACAATGTGGTTCCTCCATGATGCAATATTTTCTAAACTCTGCAGTAGGGTGGCAGGTTCTCAATACAAATTGTCCATAAAAATATTTTTTAAAATCCTTATCTGAGAAGCCTATGATTACATAATGATGATGTGATCTGTCCCAGCTGCTAAAAAACATACTGGCTAAAATTTTGAAAAAAGTAGAAGACAAATATTTTTTTTTGGTATTATGCTGTGCATGTGTAAACAGAAAGTTACTGTACTTTCTTTGGATGAGGCGGAAACTTTTCAAACACTGGTTATAATGAGAAGTTCCATGGAATTATCATTAATTTATCCATAGACACTCATAATACCTACATCTTCACTTCTCATGCTTTGATCTCTTGGTTACTGAACTTGGTGATCATCTTACTTTGTACCCAGCCTGTCCACCACTTTCAGGGACAGGTCTCCAGGAGCTCCCGCTGAATCACATAATAGTGGGCAGAGCAGGAGCACACATGGCTGCTGTGTGTTGGAGGTGGTCGCAGCAGAAGCAGAGCCCATTTACTTTTCTTAGTAAACATTTGGAAGTATAACATTCATACAGAAAAGTAGAGGAGGAAGACAATCGTATGAGTATACAAAGTGCTCATCCTACCTGGTCTTTACTCTAGCCATTCCCACTGCCTAGAACACTCTTCCACCATCTTTATTCAGGGCATACTCTCTTTCCCTCTCTCACATCTTTATTCAAATGGCATTGTCTTGGTGAGGCCTTACTTGACCACAATATGCAAAATTGCAACCTCTATTCCAGGTATCTCTCTATCAGAACATGGACCAAGGTGAGGCAAATGAGGTACCTAGGGCACAGACTTTCAAGGAGGCACTCACTCTCAAGGTCCTGCAAGTGCAGGGTGGGTAGTTGCTCAACATGGAGGGTGCATGCCTCTTTAAATGTGGTCCCTAGGCACTGCACTTACATCATTTTGGTGCCTGTCCTGAACCCTATTCCTCTTTTTGCTGCTCTTTTCTCAAAGCCCTTCTCTAGAATGATAGTCCCTCAAGGATGGGGATATTATCTGTTTTGTTCACTGGTTATTTCTAGTTTTCACATAGTTCCTGGCACATTGTAGGAACTCTAAACACACATTGCAAATTGAAATGTTCGGAGTGGGCTGGGGTCGTGCACCTATGACATGAGGCCATAATGTATCAAAAGAGATTTTATTCTAGGCACCTGGGTGCAGGTGGGCTGATACCGACAAAGGCATCAGCAAAGAGAGCAGAGAGGGGGAAGGTTTTTATTAATTTTTGCTGGCTGCAAGTCATTCCTGCTGATGTAAGGGTCTGGTTCGTGCTTGGTTCCTCCCAGTGTCAGATGGCTAGTGGTTATCTGAGCTATGCGGTGCTCAAGGTTGCAAGCTTTCTGCAAAATATCTGCTAAGCACAATAAGTTTTTCTCTGCCCCATTTTATTCTCTTTAGCCCTTTCACAAATGAATGAATGAATGATTAAATGTATGTTCTCTGTGTAAGCATTTCATTCCTCCTTCTAGCAGTGTACTTAATGCAGCATGTTAGGTTTTGAGCTTTTTAACTTCAATGATCAGGAGGTCTTTTCATTTATTTGTTCTTATGCATAGCACTGTATCTGGCATACTGGGCCACTGAATAAAGGGTTTTTGCCAACCTCTGAGATATAATTTTGGTTCTCAGCATAACATGTCATCACCCTGCCAGCCGTTATTACACTAAGAAGAGCCTAACTCTTGGAAATAACTGGAGATAACGTGACTGAGATTTGCACAAGGTATTGATCCCTTCTGCAGCTGTTTTCTAGCTGAAAAATGCACATAATTAACTTCACCCCATGGAGTATAATTTTGTGTCATTCTGTAGAGAACTACTCATGCATAGCTGGTTCAGTATATATCTATACTTGCGATCGTTTTGTATTCCTGTAACATTTTATTACATTTTTTCTATAATAAATGTAGGATTTCCCTAAGTTGATATTCTTATTTAGTTCTTACAACACTCTCTTCAATTACCTTTTCTTTTTATTCTCTTTGAATTATTTATTTCCATTTCTTCTCTTTATGTCATATTCTATATTATGTCCTTCTTTTATTTTATATACATTACTGAGTAATTAATATGTGCCCAGAACTATGCCAGCACTCTGAATGCAAAGGAAACTTAAGCACAACTTCTTCTTCGAGGAACTCATGGTGTAGCTGTAGAAAAACATACCAGCAATTAGAATTGATCATTGTCCAAGCTCTCACACAGGGTGCTGTGGG